CAGTTTCGGTCGAGTTGACTTTTCTGTGCGCTTTCTATTGTTTTCTTATTTAGGACAAGTGATGTTATGCCTAGGTTACAAATTTAGAAGCAGATGTAAATTTAAATCTGATATTAAGTTAAAATGCGCCTAGCCAAAATACATGCATACTTTGGCTTGGACACAAGAAGGAATACTTTTCCAGTTCTGTTAAGGTTTTGTGTATCAGTCATTATTCACTCTAAGCCAGACAATACATGTCTAACTACATTGACATCAATGATAATGACTTTTTTGTTTTCAATGCCATGCCAATGTGGCATCAGATCAAACATTCAAACCCAACAATCAGGGAAAACAAGTATAAGTCTTGGCGCACTGTGGGCCGGTTTGGCTTGTTTTGGTTGCCTTATGTGGTGCCAGACCGAGAGCCGTCAGACTTAGAGGTGACGTGACGAGCCCTGAGGACTAGAGTGTCCCTGATCTCATTACCAAGCTCTATAGAGTCAAACTAGGTATAAACACCTGCAGGGAACAGGCTGATTCCCAGAGAAGCTGTTAGAGAACACACACCACACACACGCACACACACACACACACACACACACACACACACACACACACACACACACAACACACACACACAGAGACACACACACAAACACACATAGAGACACACACACACCTGTCAGTAGGTAAGAAAAGTAATTGAGAGAAGGCTTTTTTATTGGGAGTGACACTAAAAAAGAACGCTACGCTAATAATGCATTAATCAATAAAGGGAATGGAGTCATTGTGAAGAATTCACTAGCTGAAAATGTGCATGTATGATCAGTATGTCCATCAATTTGTGAGAACTTGTGCAGCCTCTAGCCATTCTTCAGAAATAAACAATTCCGACAGCATCCACTTCATGCTGAGTGTTTTCCCTCTTTTTGCAGGGGACCAACTTCTTAGCACGGCAATAAGGTTTCATGAGACAGGCAAAGGTGATTTTTTGATTGAGCTATTTGTGATCGAAAAAAATTGAACACAAGCTCCTTTACTATGATAGCTGACCAGCTTTTCTACATTCCCAGAATCAACACATGTGCATCTCATCATTGCAATGCAGAACGTTACACTAACTCCAGAGAAAAGGAGATTTCTGCCCTTTTGACGCCAACCTAAAACAGAACATAGAGCTACAGTAGCAACTCGGCTGCACCACGTTAAACCCAGTGCCTGAAAAACTGTTCCATTCTGGGAACAAAGCTCTTGCATCGTAAATCTGCCCGGTAACAGACATCACATGAGTGGCTATGCGCATGCATGTCAACAATGAAAGGTCGTTCCATTTTCAGAATACGCATGTGATAATTTGAGACATGTCGGTTACTAAACTTAGCCACTGAAGTGGATTTTGCTCCATTAGTTAGCAAGCCGCTGGAGGATGGTGGGATGGATGTACGGATGGGTGTGTCTGAGGCAGTGAGAACAGGTCAGGTTAAGTGTGGCATGCAGCAGAGGAAGGACTGAGGAGTTGTGGTGTGCCTGTTTGCCACTCTGTGAATGCTGATTTACCACTTTGGCACACTTTGCCCTATCACAGAGCAGGAGCAGACGCACAGACGTGGAGAGAAAAAAAGATGGGAAAGAGGGAGGGTGGGAGAGAGTAAAGAGAGGGTGCTAAAAGCAGCTGGAGGTTCTCCGCAAGGCCTTAAGATCTAATCAATCATTTACAGGGTACATGTAGTTTAATTGATATAAAAATACTTCAGAGATCGCTCTCAAGCTCAACAAACGAGAAGTGTAAAAATATGTCAAAGACCAGCAAGTAAACCAAACAAAGCAGTAATTATTTTAGACATCGTATGTTTGATAAAATGTTTTTTTATTGATATTAAAAATGAAAGTACATGAATTGTGCATTTCGGACGTTCTAGCGTGCAGAGGTTAAATCAATAAAATACACACAGGCTGAGTGAGCTACTGACACAGAAAAAGTTGCCATTGCTCGGCAAGGTATCTCTTCATATTCAGCTAAAAGAAGTGGTTGTCTTCACGCCATTCAAAAGAACACTAGAGTAGCCTGTTTGAACATTACAATAGTGAATGAATGCAGTCCTAGCAGGAAAATATGAAATAAAATAGAAAATATAATAATTTTATCAATAATAATAACAATTTAATAATAATAATTGCACTGCCTGCTTTGTTGCACAACTGAAGTAGAATATAATTAGAGACAGGCCGCAGCCTTGATAGTTCAGATCTCTCTGACAGAAAGAAGATTTAAAGTATTGGCTTGACTCTTCACCATGATGCATGACACAATAGCGGAGGAAAACTATATTGTGCCACAGAATGACTTTGTTTCTGACATGGCCTTCAGTGGTTTTTTCACAAAGAGCTAAATCATTGTGGCCAGGTAAGGGTAACAACCTCAGCTGCCCTTCCACAACAAGATTATCACTGACACTCGGAAACTACTGCACTTCTCCCTCGGAGAACATAGACTGTTTAGTTTTTTTTCCTGAGTGCTTCAGAAATGGTTCAGTGTGATAGCCCTTCATCAAATGCATAATGGATGGGTTATTGGATGATTGTGGAGGGGTAAATGGCAGGCTAACAACCCTGCTCCCCCTCGCCATGCAATACATATTGTTGATGCGTACGATCAGGGGCATTGTCTTTTACAAACAGAGAAGAAAGAAGACAAACAGACAGACAGACAGACAGACAGACAGACAGACAGACAGTGAGGTTTAGAGCGGTGATATGCTCTCTCCTTAATAGACAATGACCTTTTGGTGACCTTTGATGACTACTAGCATCATAGCAACATCATTACCTCCAATTAAGGCATCAACACAATGACTCGTGTAAGTCACGTGTAAGCTAACCACTAAAATCTACAACTGACCGGACAGTTACAGCCTCATGACCCAAACCAACACGCGAGAAAACATCAGTGGCACTGGCACGTAGGCAAGATGCTCTTTAGAAGATCATAGGACACCATGTACAATTACAAAGACATGATTTAATGAAGGACTGATCATTCTCACGCCATCAATACTAAAGTGGCTTCAAAACATAGTGGGTTTGAGTACAATCAATGTTGAACAGTTATTTTTCCAATAATAAAGTCATTCATTTATGCTTTCTTTTTCACAGATAAACCCTGACAGGCTTCTGGAAATCCATGCAGACCAATGTATTCAGAGTATGTGCCTATTCCTGTGACATAACACGCCTAAGCAATCCAGGCTATGCTGCTGTTAAAATATTAATTTAAAGTAACTATGGCAAACGGAAAAGGAAAAAAAGACATTATTTTTGGTACAAAGCATCTACAAAAAAGCCTTACAACTCCAATTGGAAAACAGAGATCATACAAAATAAATCCGTCAGTTGAGCATCAGTGCTACGTATATTATTTGGACCAATTTTCAAATATATTTTATAACAAAATAAATAATGCCTTTATACAGTGCCCTTATTTGTATTTCAACAAACAAACAAAAAAGCTTGGCGGCTCATTACGCAAGATACAGCTCAGACTAAAGGAAAATAACACAACGTCCCTGGAAACTAATTATATATCTATATATCTATCTATATATATGTATGTATATATATAAATATATATAAATAAATATATATAGATATATAGATGTATATATACATATAGATATATATGTTCAAGTATTTGTTTTCAGGCAAAAGCATGTGAATACTACTGATATACAATAAAAATAAAATGTTAGTTGACATTATTGCTGTTTTTTTCCCTTTGAATTGAAATGTTGTGCCTTTCTTTAGAACTGTAAAATAACATTATAACATAACCATGGAAACAAAAGAAAAGCCTAACTTGGAAAAACAGGAATGTCACGGTACCAGAAACTGACGGGGTTTTCCTTTTTTTGTTCATTGAAACATTGATATGAAAAGAAAACAGATAAAAGACACAATCAAATATAATCATCATTATCCCACTTGTTCTTTGTCCATTCCAAGTTACTTCCTGTGAGAGCAGTCTGCAAAACCATGGCAAACAGGAAGTTCTGTCCCAGAACTGTAGTACTGTCCAAATCCAGGCGGTCCACGGTGTCCCATATGTCCCCCACTGCTCCCTGTGTCTGCCAGGGACAGGAGGAACAGGGACTGGGTTTCAGGTCCCCCTTGCCGCTTACGCTGGCAAGCTAGTGATGAGCAGCCGCGAGCACTCGCTGTGAGCCTAGATGCCGATACAGCCCATTTATTTTCTCAGTGACACTTCCCCCTTGACATTGCCACTGCCAGGAGCTCCACCATATCCTTTATCTTCCTTTTTTCAAAAGTCACACTTTCCTTAAAACGGAAAGTTTTAATATTCATTCAAAGAAAAAAAACGTGCTTTTCAACCTCTTCTTTGAGTCCATTCCCAAAGTTAGCACCATGTCATTTTTTTAAGCTACACGTTCATTGTTCATAAAAAAATAGTGCCATTTTTTTCTTTACTTTGACGTAATCCGTGGCAATGTGCAATTTTGCAGACTCTTTTCTGCTTTTTGTTTGTGATCAAAAGGTGCTGGAACAGGAATCTAATTTTAAAAAATAATTCCTTACAGTGTGGAAGTCCCTTTATAGGTAGAGGTGCAAACTAATAAGAAAAAGAACTAACAGAGATTTTCTTTTTGCCTCAGGAAAAATGATGTGGAATGAATTCTTTCATGCAAGCTGCTCTTCACTTTCAGTTGTCTTCCACAAAGACAAAAAAACATTCCGCTGGGTGTCCTCTTGACACTTGCAAACCACAGATCTCTTTCATCTTCAGTTCTCCCTTCCCTTTTCTCTCTTGCTTAAGGATCCACCTGAATTGCATTCAGCCGAATTGTTAACTTTTTGTTCATCGTTTTTGTTTGTGCCTTTTGTGTCAGTGACTGAAAGAGAGAGGGAGCGAAAGAGTTCAGACAGGAAGAATGTGAAGGCATGTTTGTGTGCCGGAGGAGGGTGGGTGGTTGGGGTTGAGGGGGGGGGGGGGGGGGGGGGGGGGCATTTGAAAAGGGCCAGGGGGTCAAGAAGTAGTGGATGAGAGCAGGGGGAGGGATTGGTGGGCTCGGACAGGGCAGGGGAGGTCAAAGAGGACTGCCACAGAAATGACGTCAGAGACAAAGCTATAATCCCCTAGTCTTTTTTTCTCCCTCGAAACTCTTGTCTGTGCAAAGGGCTGGCAGCGGGCTCATTTGTGGTTGACATAGTTCTCCGTGGCGAGCAAGACAGGCGGCAGTTTGCTGGGCAGGCTGATCAGGGACCTGTGGAAGACTGCCTGCTCCTCGGCCTTGATCTTCTCAGCCTGCCTCCGAGACTTTTTGGCCCTCAGGATGGCGGGGACGCCCCTCCGGAGCCGCTGGGCCGCCTTCCTCTGCCACACCTCGAATTTGGAATACCTGATGGTCCCATGCTGCTTCCTTGGGACTTCCTATTGTGGCGTGCAGGCGAAAAAAGGGAAAAGAGGGAGTTCATTAGTTGTGATAAGATACACTGCAAGTGCTTATTACAATGGGGGAAAGCCTTGTTTGTTTTGCAAAAACATTCAGTCATTGTTGGGCCAGTCAAATGGAAATCAAATGTCATTCTTATATTGCCCAGCGTCACAACAGACTCGCCTTGCCTCCGACTTGCCCTTGTTTTGGTTTCCTTGACTGAGAGAAGCTGTCAACAAGTGTTAGCTCAGCCTCTTTAACATACTGTCAAAGGGAAGGGCGGTCACTCGCCTCATATACATATGAGGAGCACAGTGTCGTTCACCCAACGACCCGCTGAACTGACTAACCCCGTTACGTGAAACGCCATATAAACGCACTGTCATTCCACAACCTCTATTCAAACCCAGCAAACTCTTTTAAACAGCTCTAGGTGTTTTGCTGAGCACCCTAGATTGAGACAGAGTGGGAGTGGTAGCAGCGGGGCTAGAATGTATGCGCAAGTACCCAGTGCTCTGTCTGAATGGCTTGTTTTGGTCCTGCCACTTGAGGAGTGTTTATCCCCCTTCATTCATTCCAAGCCTGCACAATAGCCTAAGAACAGCTGGCCCTCAGAGCAGGCTGTACCCATCAACTCTCCCTGCCCACACAAACTAGGGACATGTCCCAACTAATTCCCTTGCAGTCTCTTTTTATTGTATTTTAGGCCGAGGATATTTTCCTCTGGTCATTCGCAGAAGTTCATTTTGGGTTTGTTTACATCACTAGCAATCTCCAACCACTGATGCAGATTTTCAAACAAGTCAAAGCAGAAACCCTATACACATCTTTCCAGCCTTGTCTAAAGGAGGGTGGAAGGGATTTGAAAAGTCCTGGAAAACAGCCACAGCTCGGTCTTGTGATCACAAAGACCTGAAATGCTTTGATGCATGTTTGTGACAGATTCCGTAGAAGCTCTGCTGGCCAGGTCAGGTGTTTTTGACCGCACAGATCATAATGCATGCCAGTTTCGGGAGCTTGCTGTTCCGTGACTAATCATTAAACGCTCTGAACACACTGTTTGTTACGGACCAGCAGTCTCTAACATGTCACAGACTTTCTCATTCTCTCTTACACACACACACACACACAGGAGTTGTATGTGATGTGACAGTCTTGATGTTTTCCATGAGGCTCAGCACTTTACATGGAAGCTAACTGCTTACCAATGTCCATTTTAACCAGATAAACCTGTCTTTGTGTGGGTTTCAGTCTGCTCTTGGTGTCAGAGATAGGGGTGAGGCTCAGAGGTGAATGGAGGCACAGGAGATGGATGGACAGATAAAACCAAGCTTAAAAACAGTTTCCCATACTGGCGTGTTGTTGTTGTTAAGACATACCTGTTTTAGTGCGGGCATCACTGGTATGACCTGCAGAGAGGAGGCCGACACGTCCCTTTCGGACTTGGCGGGTTTGGCACAGTACTGCTCCAGCAGGTTGAGGTCACAGCTACGGAAACAACACTCCTCTACAATCCCACGGTTCTGGTTGCGCCGGTTGTTCCCCCTGCTGGTTGGCCTACCTGAGGATAAACACAACAAGGGATGAGTACAGAGCGTGAGGAGGGTGAGGTTAAGGCCTGGGAACACAACACTGGCATCAGTAAAGAATCTAGGTTGTTTTCGTAGGATTACTTCAACAATCATAGCAGTCCATGGAGCAAAGAGGATAAAAGGAAATCTATGAACAACTGCAACAAATCTTTTTGTTTGTAGAGGATAATCTGATTAGGGCTATCTGGAAGTCCCTTAATGAGTGAATACACAAGTAAACACCCTGTGCTGTAGACACCAAAAGAGACTGATGGAGACAGACAGTTAAGCTCTCAGACAGATCTTTGGGTGAGCAAATACATAAAATGGAAACTCTGCTGTGACCTTGTCCTTTGTCAAGTCAGCACAGATAAAGAGGATGAGGAGGGAGAGGAGGGGCGGAGAGGTAGAGAAAACAGGAGAAAAGGGATCAGTGAGGGAGAGAGGTTGTGTGACGTCGAAACAGAGGGAAAGAATGTGAAACAAAAGAGGAAGAGAGTAAAGACACAGGAGAGAAAGGTATAGAAGAATAAGGTGAGGGGGTAAAGGGTGAGCATGTTGCAAAAGGGAACACTATCCACGACCAATAAAGGCCTTGTTTGAAGTCCTGCTCCCAAATCTCATGAGAGGGACGGCTAGATGTGATTGCAGGAAGAGGAACATGAGAGCAAAGAGAGGGTGATCCAGTGGGGGGGGAAGGAGAAGAGGAGGAAGCACATCTATGTCAGCCTAAATTGGATAATGATCTTTCCGATTGTTGAGAAGCTTCTGTGGCGGGCAGCACACAAAGAAACTGTCAATGGTGAAAAGCAGAGGGTGGGACTATATCTTAATGAAATGAAAAGAAAATGCAGATATACTGAATGAAGGTGAACTCATGTATGTCACAAACAGAAGCTTATCCTTGTGAGGATTAACAACCACCACAGTACATTCTCATAATGCTTTACAGCTATCCCCATCATCACTACAATGGAAGCAATAATCAGAATTGATGTTGATGTCCTTCCTCTTAACCTGACATCAAAAACAGCCCCCAACCCCCCTTTTCTGGATCATCAGTGTGATCGCCTGGCCTGGGAACACTGGTGCTGAGGTGACTGGTATGCCTCTTTGGGTGCTATTACTTTACTGGTAAACAAGCGGCCCATTGTGTCGCTCTGTGTCGTGTGTGCCTTCACAGCTCGCCGGCCTTTCATATGCAATGAGAGGTATGGGCTGTAGGCAGAATGCGCACACTCAGCCGAGCAGCCTGGACGAGGTCTTGAGACACACAGCTGGCTATAATCTCCTTCTCACTCTTTTCTGTCTCTCACTCAGTGTGTGTGTGCGTGAGAAAGACAAATACCAAACACGCATACCACACAGCCACAGACAGAGCGATAGCCTCAGCTATCCAAACAGATGTGTGCGAATGAACAACAGAGGGACATAAAAAAGCTAAACGGCGTTGTGTGCAGCGCATTGTGCAAAACTTGTGCCGGGATTGAAAACCTACTGAAATAGAAGCCTCTGTCTTCACAGACAAACTGCAGCGCATCCACCAGCTCTCCCCCACACAGCGTCTCCGCCGAGGCTATTTCCACAGCGTAGAGCGCGAGGGCCAGTGCAAACAGCAGCACGCGACTGGACGAAGACATCTTCTTGACCTGCAGGCAACAGAAAAAACACACATTTTCACCATGAAGCAACGGGTCATCAAATGCGAGCACACAATACAGAAGTCATCAACATATAATTATCATATGACAGCCAGATGTTGCCTATACGTTTTGGTAAAAGAGGAGCCCCTCTTTTAAACCTTTTCTATATATTGACCTACTAACTCAGAAAGAAGCCAATTGCGTGCAACCAAATTATGTCAAATGCACATCCACCCCCCTTCAACTGTTATCACCCGCTGTCATTGTGTTGCACCTGAGAGAAGTGCTTATTCTTAGGGAAAAAGTAGACGGTATTTCTGCCGTTCACACTCTTACACAACTCCCCAGAAGTTGCAAGACCGGCTGCTCGATAGTTAACTATCTGAAAAGCCAGACTCAGCATATATTTTCCCCTTGCTCACCCTGTGGTGAGCTCACTGACCCTCAGACCTACCGCCCCCTATCTGCCGAATCAAAGACCAGCTGTTTGCTCCGAATCCAGTAAGCGGCGCACCGTCCAGATGGGAGAAGAATAAAATACTTCTCAACCCGTTTCTCGTTTTCTATCCTATCAGGCAACCTGTTGCACACATGCTTCAAAGCTTCAAGCACACTCCGTGTCATTTGTGTATCTTGAACTTTCTCTTTTGCAGCATGCAAAATTAAAACACATGTCCTGTTCTCATATTGCACAAAAGAAAATGATGCGATCTAGGCATCTGCTCAGCCCGAGGCGGTATCCCACTTATAGAGCCAAGAAAACATGGTTAAAACCCTGCCAGAGGTCTATGAATACACGCGCAGCACAACCGGAGAGTGTAAAACTATTTGTTCCCTCTGGTTACCTTCATTCTGCTGCTCTCCGTTCTCTGGCAGGTGTGGCAAATTGATTGGTGTCCGTGTCTTTGCTGGGTCTCCATGTCAGTTGGCAGTAGTCAAAATGTAGGGGTTATTTGGTTGGAAAGGTTGCAGGTGAGTTAGTTTCCCAGTTGGTGAAGCTATTGAGATGATGTGTGAGACGCTGTCCCAAAGACCAGGCGACAGGCAAAACTTCACTGTGAAAACTATTATATACCAAACACGCCCCTTACACCCACACCACACCCCTCGCTCCTCCTCTTCACTGCTGGTTAAAAAAAAATGGTCCAGGGACGTTTTAAGGAAAAGTGCTAAAGGGGAGAAAAGGCAAAAAGAGAGGGAGAGAGTGAGAGTTACAAAATATGGAACAATTCCATAGGCATTTTCCACGTTTACGCACTGTAACCTACAATCACAATGTTTACACACAGGACGCAGACTGAACAAGAATAGACGTAATTCCTCAGACTCCAAGAAAAATGTCAAAGTGTCCGCCCTGCTGTAATTAAGATTAACATTCAGAGTGGAAGAAGTGTGGCCATGGTCTGCGGCTCACTGACTCAGGTATGGATGCAGTCACCGGGGTCAAATGTGACTGAGTGAATGTTGATTAGTAGGTTACCTGAAGGCAGCAGGATGATGCAGCAGCAGCAATGAGTGGCTGGTGCAGAGTAGTCAACTGTAAATGCTGCATCTTTGGAGGAAGTGAAAAACTAAATATTAATAATAATTTATATTTATATATTTAAAACTGTCAATGCATCACTCATACTGTGAGACTGTTTAAATACCAGCAGGAAAAAAAACTCATCCAGATGTTGCACAGGTAGTTGTACAATAGACACAACAATGTCCTGCATGCATCAAGCTCCAAAATGTAATTTTACATAAAGGTAAGCTTTTTCTTTTTTTTTCTAACACTGTTTGAGGGTTCCCTTATATAAGTGGGGCTTCTGCAGAAGGTAGGGATCCGGACATGTCTTCAGACTCAGACTGACACCTAGTGGTCCTGGGAGTGAACCGTTTGTTTGTCTCGCAGGTTCAGCAGGTTGGTTTGAGCATCAGAGAGTACTGAACAGCTGCCCACTGATACCTGAACACCAGGACAGGAGCTCTGTCCGGACAAATCCCCCAAGGTTGGTTCGTCAAAAGCGTGTATTCATTTATTCTCTAATGAATATTCATAGACAGTACTTTCCGTCATTGTCCACAATAGCACATTTATAATGTGGGTCCAATTGGCGATGATGAGCTTGCATTCTTGTGGTTGTCTGTTGTCATTTAAATGGCGGTGATGCAACATTTGAATATAATAGAAAAACAAGTATTGTATTTGTTAGAATATCTGTTTCTTAAGCTATTTCCCTTAACTTTACAGAGGTGTATTTTTGTAATACAGATGCATATTAGCTTGTTTTTAACATTTAATAATATTGCAAAATTGTTCATTTACGTTTAAGGCAGGCAGATAGCATAAAGCAAATGTATTAATTGAAAGGCTTAAATAGAATTTGCTGTGAATTTAAGACTAAGCATAAACACCTTGCGGGACTGCCCCCTCTTGTGGCAGACAGATGTCCTAGCCAAGTATTATACAATTTTGGTCTGTAGGATTTGTGTTTTGCAATGTATGGACACAACATAAATAAATAAGGGATGACAGAATTTTTTTTATTTGCCATCTTTAATGTTTGATAGATACGTTTTTGAAACAGTAGTCAACAGTTCATTACATGGAAAGTATGTTGTATTACTTATTTTATTATGCGATACACTGCAAGACAGAAACACCAGATAAATCAATACATTTAGAGGCAATACTCAAATACTGAATTCACATATCTGCAAAATAAAGAATTTAACACATAAGAGATATTCATTTCTAAATAAAATAACTGTGATTTAATATATATTTCATAAATACGTTTTATTTGTTAGACACTTTAATATTTTCATTTGTTTCTTTGATTTTAAAATAATTGTACTATACTCATTTAGTTTTCTTTTTATACATTCATTATCACATTATTTTATATTATTTTGGTTCCGATTTTGACACATTTCTCAAACAACACATTTTTTATTTATAAGCATGAATGGCCCAGTCAGTAAACCCCAATCATTTCACCCAGCGAGGTGTTAAACATCTTTGGAAAGCCTGCGCTGTGACTTGAGGTTTTAATGGTTGCAACATTGTCGGCCTACCAGCAAGCAACAACTCTTCAGAAACAGCATCATACTGGAAGTACAGCACAGAAAGATGAACACATTGGTCTTGATCACACATCGGACGTCTCTGAGCGCAGCAGAGAGGAAGCAGACAACAGCAGGGCGGTCGCAGAACCGGGTCATCATCATGACAAAACACTGAGGGCGTCTGTTAGCAGCTTGAGCTCGTCCTTCACTCCGTCCAGGCCTGCTTGGATCTTCAGTGGGTTGTCAAGCACCTCCACACTGCTGGTGAATGGATCAAACCTCACGGAAAAGGGACGCTTGATTCCCGCCACGTAACCCCTTTGTCAAATATACAAAACAGTTAGAACCCTCAAAGAAGTCAAAGATGAGTATATGAGCTCTTCATAAATGCAGAGAATTTAAACCAAAATATTTCTTGTGGCCAGTGAAGACTTAATTGACTAGAAAAAAGTTCCCCCAGTTGTAGTTTATCCTATGCATTTTGCACTTAATAAAGACTGGATTATCCTGCTTGTGTCAGTACACACAGGAAATATATTCACTATGGGCCTATACTTCGACAAACATTCCCGGGCAGATCATTTTCTCTGAGTGTGTCAAGGATGCCACATTTTATATTCTAATAGAAACCAAATGTTGTGAAAACATTCACTAAAGCTACTTGTTTTGCAGGGTAACATTTGATCTGTTTGCCAGATAAAACTACAGCGTTTTGCCTTGGTAAGAAACACTACATTAGTAACAGCTGTCTTCTGGCAGCTATGGCTGAAGTGTGTGGCCTCAGGGGCTGGCTGGCTGTTCTATGACCTTGTCCTTGCATAACCCCCTCTTTTTGTTTTTCTCTACTTCTCTGTGTCTCTCTATGTTCTTGTGTATTTGTGATTGGGTTTGAACAAGTAAGCATGTATGATTCAGTACCTGAATTTTTCCTTGGCATCTGTAAAACTTTCAGAAATGAAGTAGACGGGCTGGTACGTCTGGTCTTGGTAGGGCTGCCTCGCTGCAGCCTCTGGTTCAAACTGCCTTGTCTCTGGTTCATCAGACAGCGAGTGCTGGATTTACATAAAAGAGAAAGATTGAGAGTTATCTGACAGCTCAGGTGGCGGAGAAAACTATCATATTTTAAAGCAGATAACAGAGAGGACATGCTTGAACGTACCACAAGTTCTCCGTAAGAGGAGAGCAGTCCAGCTCCGTAAGCCCTCACCTCACCATTCTGTTTGCAGAGGCCGTACTCAACAGTGAACCAGTATAGCTGATGGGAAATAAAATAGATTTACTGAGAGAAAGAAGGATACTGGGGTGGACTATTAAATGATTTTTTCACACATCTTAGGTAAGGGACTGTACAAAAGGGACCAGAGCTGGTTGTGAGTCAAAAAAGGGGGGGTGAAGTTTTTTGAAGAGTTTGAAGCGATTTCTACACGTTGATAACGTTGTAAATCAAAACAAAACCATGTGGTTAGGTTGAGGAAAACATCAAAGTTTGTTGTTTTGGTTTAGTACGTGTGTTGCATAACTTTAGTAAGGCATGTAAGTTAAGAACATCACGCAGGTGATGTATATGTTAAGTACGTAACATAAATTAAGTTGTGGAAGTTAAAATGAGTTAATGTTGACCTTTGTTTGTTTGACCCTTACATGCAGCTCAGCCCCTCCCTAGTGGTCTCTTACGTCACCTGACTTCTTTCTTTTCTCCTGTCATAATTGCTACAGCCACTGGAGGTCACCACTTAACAATGAACGTAAATATGTGTTGGAGGACTGAAGTCTTACTGAGGACAGTTTCTCAATATCTTCATCCGAAGCCCCAAGTGATGCCAGGCCAAGGTTCTGAAGCACATAATAAAAAGGTTAGTAAAATAAATAACACAGCATGCATTATAAGACTGCTCAGGACCTCCACCCTCTTACCTGTGAAAACTGGGCAAAAGTGCGATCAGCCAGCATTGGGACGTGGCCCAGCAGTTCATGTACACAGTCACTAAAGGGAAAGAAAGAGAGATTCAACTGGCACCATATTATATCTAAATGGAAAAACCATATACAGATATGTTTAACTAAATACAGACTTTAAGGTACGAATTGTGTTAACAAGAGAAGTGAAGACAGAAGTGTGTTTTTCTTGCAGACTAAACAGGAATTTGAGAGATAAGTTTAAGTTCATTGTATATGTTTGCTTTATTATTATTTTAATGGCAATGGCCATATGTTGGATGAGGTTTAATGCGATGAGCAAAGCAAGAGAAGTCACACTCATACTCACGGCTCTGGGGAGTGCATAGGGGACGAGGCGTGTCGGATGTATTGGGTGCACTGGAACACCCTGAATGCCAAACTGGCCAAGAAATCTCTGGCGGAGAGCAGACCTGCCACTGGACGGAGCAGGAACCCTGTTCGCTCTGTTTGAGTGTGTGTTAGGGAAATAATAGATGAAGAGACAAAGAGAAAGAATATAGGTAAATGGAAAGTGTATTATATAGACTGAACACTTCGGTTTGGTTTCTTAACCCGTCTTTACCTTTGAGGAAACATGACACATCTTCCAACTGGGGAATGTTGTCTGGACCGTACCCACAATGCCTTTCCAGCAGATTGAGGGCATCGAGGTATTCACTGCAGGCATGTGTGATATACAATTCCCTCAGAGTTGAGTAGACTTCCCTCCTAATTCGGGATTAAATGACATTCAGGTTTTCTTCTTTAACAAAAGACTTTCAAGCATTGAGGTGTAACCATCAATAAGGATAAAATGAGCTGGAAATATAATTAAAACAACTTTTGGGACTGTTTAGTTATACCATTCTCTGCATTGCAATTTCTCAATATTTTCTATCTTATATTTCTATTTTAAAGTATTGCTTGATCATTTATCTTAATAGCTTTTTAAGTACAATGCAAAACCATTCTTTTCAAATAAAAACTAACTGGCACGTCATAGACTCAGACATCTTCTTTTGGCAAAACTGTGCACATT